CACATTTGGCATCTTTTTTAAAGAAAATTTTCCCACCCCTGAAGTCCCAGCAATATTCTTCTACATTTCCTTCTATTGGCTTTATAATTTAGTTTTTCAAATTTAGGACTTTAATCTGCTTCAAGGATTTTTTTTTTTTTTTGCATATGTTGTGAGATTCAACTGAATTTTTCTCCTTAGAGTGAGACAATTTTCCTGTCTATCTACTAAATAATTCATCTATTTCCCACTGATTAGTGATGTCTTTCTATCCCAAGTTCCCCATACTAATACCTGCTCTATTTGCTCTTCTTGTGCCAGTACCACACTGCTCTGATTATTTTAGATTTCAAATATGTCTCATTATTTGGTAGGGTGCATTCCCCTCCCTTTTGCTCTTCTTTGGAGATGTATCTTAACTATTTGTAGATATGTGTTCTTCCATGTATATTTTAGAATCAAATTCTCTTCACCTAGAATTATGATGCAATTTCGTTTAATTTATAGGTTAATATTGGGAGAATTGCTATTTTTATAACCTTAAACTCTTCTAGCAATGAACATAACAATATGTTCTTGTTTATTCAGGTTTTTTTTATGCCTTTTAATTGAGTTTTACATTATTATGTGCGTTATTTGGTAGTTCAGTTTCTATATATTTTATAGTTTTATAACTACTATAAATGGTATCTTGTTTACTGGGTTTTGAAGGTGTAGAGGAATGCTATTGATCTCTGTATGTTGCCCTGCTATGTGGCAACCTTCCTGAACTTGTGTGAAATCTAACAATTTGTTAATTCCCTTGGGTTTTCCATATAATTGACAATAACATGTTTCTCTCTTTCCAATCCTTGAACTCTCTCTTTCTCGTGGCATTACATTGGTCAGTCCTCTATTTTTGTGTCAGACGGCAGTGGCGGTTAACCGGTCTGTTTTGTTTCTGAATTAAAAGTGATCATGTCTGGGGCGCCTGGGTGGCTCAGTTGGTTGAGCGACTGCCTTCGGCTCAGGTCATGATCCTGGAGTCCAGGATCGAGTCCCGCATTGGGCTCCCTGCTAGGCAGGGAGTCTGCTTCTCCCTCTGACCCTCCCCCCTCTCATGTGCTCTCTCTCATTCTCTCTCTCTCAAATAAATAAATAAAATCTTTAAAAAAAAAGTGATCACGTCTAAGGGTTGACCATCTAGGGTCTTTGATTTCTAGATCCTCTTTTAAAGGGCTACCTGATTAGGTCAGGCTCACCAAGGATAATCTTCTTGATTAATTAATTAATTAATGTATTTTGTAAGATTTTATTTATTTATTTGAGAGAGAGAGAAAGAGCATGAGCGGGGGTGGGAGGGGCAGAGGGAGAGAGAGAAGTAGCGTCCCTGTGAGCAGGGAGTCAATGCGGGGCTCCATCCCAGGACCCTGGGATCACAACCTGAGTGGAAGGCAGATGCGCCGCCCAGGCGCCCCTTGATTAATTTAAAGTTTACTGATTTCAGAACTTTAATTATATGTGTAAAATCCCTTCATATCCTTTCTTATCATATCCCTTTGCCATATAATGTGACCTAATCACAGGAGTGATATCTCATCATATTCATAGGTGCTGCCCACTCTCAAGGGGAAGAGATTATTCAAGGGTTTGTCTCTGTTGGGATCATATTAGAATTCTGTCTACCACATACTTCCAATTCAAATTCAGGACTATGTAACCTCATCTACATAACATCTATATCTCCTTTCTGTCATGTTAAGTCTCAGTTCTCAATAACACCAATATAATTACTCATTTGCTTTATCCTGCAATACACACCACTAACAGTCTCAGAATACTAATGCCAAGACTCTACCATCAATGTGATTGACAAAAATAGTTTTCAAGATTTGTATGTGTAGGGGTACCTGGGTGGCTCAGTCGTTAAGTGTCTGCCTTCGGCTCAGGTCATGATCCCGGGGTCCTGGGATCAAGCCCCGCATCAGGCTCCCTGCTCGGCGGGAAGCCTGCTTCTCCCTCTCCCACTCCCCCTGCTTGTGTTCCCTCTCTTGGTGTGTCTCTCTCTGTCAAATAAATAAATAAAATCTTAAAAAAAAAAAAGATTTGTATGTGTATGTGTATGTTTGTATTGCAGTTCTTTTGTCCTTAGGCTATGTCCCACTAAGAATGTAGAGTCAAGTTCCTTGTTTTAAAGTCACTTCCAATAGCTCCTCCATGTGCCAACAACTTGAAACAGTGAGGTTCATTTGTTTCAATTTGTGTTCACTTCTTGGGGATTGCTTTTTTTTTTTTTTTTTAAGATTTTATTTATTTGACAGAGAGAGACACAGTGAGAGAGGGAACACAAGCAGGGGGAGAGGGAGAGGGAGAAGCAGGTTCCCCACTGAGCAGGGAGCCCATTGCGGGGCTCGATCCCAGGACCCTGGATCATGACCTGAGCCGAAGGCAGATACTTCACCGACTGAGCCACCCAGGCACCCCTTAGGGATTGCTTTTTAACTTAAATTTAATTTTATTTCATAATTTTGTTAAAGATATACATAATTTTACAGTAAAACTCACACAAGGTACATTTAGAGCATTCTGGTTTCTTGTTCCTAAAAAAAAAATTTTTTTTTTAACTTAGTTTCCCATTGTTTTTTAATATAGGCAAATATGTATATATGTTTCTATCTGATGGGGCAGGGGGATCTCATCACAATTTCAAAATTTTTAATGGTTATTTTCTATTTAAAGTTTTGTGTTTCTCTTTGGGTCTATAGGTGTTTTCTGTTTTTCCAGCTGTGTATCCCTCTCATTGATGTTTTCGAATTTATTAGTGTGTAGTAGTTCATAATCTTTTTTTTTTAATTATTTTATTTTTTTTTACATTTTTTTAAATTCTTATGTTAATCCCCATACATTACATCATTAGTTTTAGATGTAGTGTTCCATGATTCATTGTTTGTGCGTAACACCCAGTGCTCCATGCAGAATGTGCCCTCCTCAATACCCATCACCAGGCTAACCCATCCTCCCACCCCCCTCCCCTCTAGAACCCTCAGTTTGTTTTTCAGAGTCCATCGTCTCTCATGGTTCGTCTACCCCTCCGATTTCCTCTGCTTCATTCTTCCCTTCCTGCTACCTTCTTCTTCTTTTTTTTTTCTTAACATATATTGCATTATTTGTTTCAGAGGTACAGATCTGAGATTCAACAGTCTTGCACAATTCACAGCGCTTACCAGAGCACATACCCTCCAGTTCATAATCTTTTTAAAAACACCTATTTTGCCTGTAAATTATTTTTCCCTTTTAATTTTGTGTTCTATTTACTTGTATATCTTCCTGCTTCTTACTGATCTTATGATGGGATTTTTTTTATTATGTTAATCACCATACATTACATCATTAGTTTTTGATGTAGTGTTCCATGATTCATTGTTTTGATGGGATTTTTTTAAAATCATCTTTTGATTTTGTTATTCATATTTATTGCTTTTGTCCCCGCTCCCCCAGCACCTCACACCATTGATTTTTGCCATATCTTTATTATTTCCTTCCTGCTTATTTCTTTGGGGTTTTGCACTGAACACTTAGCTCATTTGATTTCAATATTTCTTATTTGTTAAATAAATGTATATAACACTACAAATCCCCTTTAACTACTACCTTATGTACACTTTGACACATGGTACTTTCATTATATTTTGTAATTTCCTTTATTATAATCTCTTTATTCTAATATTTAGTAGTATTTTTTTTTTTAATTTTTTTATTCTTATGTTAATCCCCTTACATTACAACATTAGTTTTAGATGAAGTGTTCCATGATTCATTGTTTGTGCATAACACCCAGTGCTCCATGCAGAATGTGCCCTCCTACATACCCACCACCAGGCTAACCCATCCTCCCACCCCCCTCCCCTCTAGAACCCTGTTTGTTTTTCAGAGTCCATCGTCTCTCATGGTTCGTCTACCCCTCCGATTTCCCCCGCTTCATTCTTCCCCTCCCGCTACCTTCTTCTTCTTCTTCTTTTTTTTTTTTCTTAACATATATTGCATTATTTGTTTCAGAGGTACAGATCTGAGATTCAACAGTCTTGCACAATTCACAGCGCTTACCAGAGCACATACCCTCCAGTTCATAATCTTTTTAAAAACACCTATTTTGCCTGTAAATTATTTTTCCCTTTTAATTTTGTGTTCTATTTACTTGTATATCTTCCTGCTTCTTACTGATCTTATGATGGGATTTTTTTTATTATGTTAATCACCATACATTACATCATTAGTTTTTGATGTAGTGTTCCATGATTCATTGTTTTGATGGGATTTTTTTAAAATCATCTTTTGATTTTGTTATTCATATTTATTGCTTTTGTCCCCGCTCCCCCAGCACCTCACACCATTGATTTTTGCCATATCTTTATTATTTCCTTCCTGCTTATTTCTTTGGGGTTTTGCACTGAACACTTAGCTCATTTGATTTCAATATTTCTTATTTGTTAAATAAATGTATATAACACTACAAATCCCCTTTAACTACTACCTTATGTACACTTTGACACATGGTACTTTCATTATATTTTGTAATTTCCTTTATTATAATCTCTTTATTCTAATATTTAGTAGTATTTTTTACATCTCCAGATTTTTAGGAGTTTGAAACTATTCTTTTATTTATTTTTTATTTCTTTAAAAGATTTTATTTTTGACAGAGAGAGAGAGAACACAAGCAAGGGAAGCAGCAGGTGGAGGGAAAGGGAGAAGCAGCCTCCCCACTCAGCAGGGAGCCTGATGAGGGGCTCCATCCCAGGACCCCGGGACCACGACCTGAGCCGAAAGCAGACGCTTAACTGTCTGAGCCACCCAGGTGCCCCGAAACTATTCTTAAAAAAAAAAATTATTTATTTATTTTAGAGAGAAAGAGGGAGCAAGTGGGGGGAGGAGCAGAGGAAGAAGGAGAAAAGCAGACTCCCAGTGGAGCAGAGCCTGACCACGATGCTGGCCCAACCCCAGGACCCTGAGATCATGACCTGAGCCAAAATCAAGAGACCACGCTTAACCTACTGAGCCACCCAGGGGCCCCTTGAAGCTATTCTTTTGTTAATGATTTCCAAATTTATTGTATTGTGATAGAGAACATGGGCTGTATGATGTTGATTTTTTAAAATTTACTGAGGTGCATGACTAGTAGGTGACTGATCTTTGGAGTCTCCCATATATTCTTGAAAAAAATGTATATTCTTTATTTGTTAAGTATAAAGCTTTTTATTAGATTGAGCTCACTAATTGAGTCATTCATTTGACTTCCACTGCATATAAAGTCTTCTTTGTCCCTTATGATGTTTTCCACCTGAAAGTCTATTTTGGGTGATATTAAAATTGCTACTCTGGAGGTTTTTTGGTTCATATTTACCCTGTATCTCTTTTTTCATCTCTTAATATTCAAAGAACGATTCCCTGGGCACTTTCCTGGCCAGTACTGTACAATAGCACGGCAAGCATCAGGATGCCCTTGAGCTAAGTTCAGCCCCTCAGCTCGAAGGAGGGGAGCCTCAGCTGTCTCTGACCCTGCCCAGCACCCTGCTCATTTTCTTACTTTCCTCTCCCACATCTGTCTTGTTCATTTTCATATTCCTATCTTGTAGCACACTGCCTGACATCTGGTAGGCACACAGTCAATATTTGTTCAGTGAATGGAGCATACAGCCTTGTTAGGAAAATAAGACACCCTGAAGAATAGTTAGAATTTATGGAGCACTGACTACATGCTAAACCTTCTCCTCCCGTATTACCTCTCTGATCTTAACTCCTACCTTGCTCCTCTCTTGTACCCTACCCTAGCTGCACGGGTGTTACTGTTGTTCTGTGAACACATCGACCTCATTGCTGCTTCAGGATCTTTACACCTGCTCTCCCCAGATGTTTGCACAGCTCACTCCTTTGCATCATTCAGATCCCTGCTCAAATGTCACCTCTTCAGACATCCTTCCGGAGTCACCCCATCTAAACTACTACTCCGTACCTCTCCTAATCTAATCACTCTCTATGGTCTTTTCTTAAAATAGCAATTATCACTAAAATGATTTGTTTGGCTACATGTTTACTGTCTGTCACCCACCAGAACGTAAGTACTTTGAGGACAAGGAGTTTGTCTTGTACACCACCATACCCTCCTCTACAGTAAGTGCCTGGTAAATAGTAGACACCAGTAAATTTTTGTTGGATGAGAAAATTTTCCTTTAATGCTCAGGGAAATAACATTTGCAACAAGTGTGATTATACCTACTTTTATAGAGGAAGTAATTAAAGCCAAGAAAGGTTCAGTAGCTTGCCCAGGGGCACACAGCAATGGAGCCAGGATTTGAACACGAGCTCATTTGACTCCAAAGCCCATCCCTAATCTCTACCTCTGTGCTACTGTCTGCAAATGAAGTAGAACCGTAAACACACAGGACACTAGGAAATCAAGAGCCAGAAGGGTGGCTTGTGGCTTTTTGGATGAGATCAGCTGGGCTGGAGTGGTTGGTAGGGGAGAGCTGGGCCTCTGGGTGAGACGTGGAATGGTGGAGGGAGGGAGGGAGGGAAGCAGGGCAGGCAAACCCTGGGCCCCGGGCCTGGGCTTGTCCACGTGGCCTTCTCCCTGGCTGAGGAATCAGTTGGGACTTGCTCCTGGGGGGAGCCGTGAGAATGGAGGGCAGGCTGTAGGGGAGGACGGCACAAGCCTGCACTCCTGGGCCTTTGGGTCAAACCCTCCACAAAGAACCCGTGCCCTGGAGTCAGGCCCGGCATTCTAACGAACCCGCGTGGCCTCGGGCAAGTTCAGACCTACCCGCAGCGCCCCTGCCAGGCCAGCCATCTGTGAGCTGGAGAGGGCCGGCCGGGCATCCGGGCTGCAGAGGCGCTTCGGAGCCAGGGCCTCTTTCGTAGACGGGATCGGTGGTACTGTTGAACGAACTGGGAGCCGACCCCGGAGCCAGCTTCCCTGAAGAGCGGGCGGGAAGAGAGCGCCACGGCCGCCAGTGGCCTGGGCTGCCTGCGGAGGCTGGGGAGTTCGCACTTCCTTGCCGTAACAGACGCGCGCGCGCGCGGGGGCGCAGGGGGCCCGGCCGGGGAGGAGGCTCCGTGGGCAGCAGCGCTCCCCACACGGGGGTCACCGTGCGTGGGCGGCAGGGGGCGGAGGGCAGGAAGCGTGGGGACAGTTCAAAGGCAGCAGCTGGGTGCAGCTTGTCAGAAGGGCCCGGGAAGTGAAAGTCCACCAGTCAAGGGAAAGGGGAAGAGAAAACAGCAGGGAGGGGAGGTGGCAACAGCCACTGCGGGCAAGGGAAAGGCAGGTGTTGTGGGAGCTTCGGCGGGGCACCTTTTCCTGGAGGAGGGGGCGGCAAGGCTGAGTCTTGGAACCAGCGTCGTGCATCCTTCACACAGCCTGCTCCCGAGGAGCAGATGCCGGGTAAGGGCTGTTCAAACGCGCGCAGCATCCTTCTTCTCCTTCAAATTCCTCATTTCCACCCCTGAAAAGGTGGCACTTGATTATCCGTGAACCCTTTAAAAGAAAAGAGTAACTGCAATTTTCATCCAAGGTAAAGTTAATTACTTTCCTCAAGGCTGTCTTCCGAGAAAAATGCTCTAAAAATAAGAAAAGATTTTGGTGATGTTAGGATAAGATGTTTTCCCCCTCAGAGTTGAAAGCTCAAACCCTTTGCACAAATATTCGTTATCAGATTCTTTTATCACTAAAAGGATGCCAACTCGACCTTTTTAAGAAACGTTTTGTTTTTGCCTTTGATGAAATTGTTCTTTCCAGCACGCTCCTCCCTGCAATGTTCCCTCTTGTGCCTGTGACACCGAGTGAGACAGATGCCACATTCACTTGTTTGGACCACAAACTGTGTAGTTTTAAGGCTGATTAGGAGTCTACTAGGGGAACAGAAAGGCTGGATAAATTCTAGGTGGTTCAATTAATGTTCGTCGCCCTCCAGTTCCTCACCCGAAATAAAGCATGGCACCCGGCAGGCTCACTCTGCATGTTTCCCCGAACGAAGGCAGGTTGGAAAAAAGAAAGCAGAGCTTAGCATTGAAAAGCACTGGAAGTAGGTGGCATTGCCAGTGTGGACTGCCTCCTAAATCAGTTAGTGTTCCTTCCCATCCCCCTCCTCAGGAAACTGTGCATTTGAGGCCCTAGAGGTCTGGACTCTTGGGTCCAGGGTCTTGCCTCTAGAACTCTGGTCCAGAGACCAGCTGTATCACCTCCTCTAGGAGCCTGTTAGAGATGTGGATGCTCCACTCCTACCTTGGAGTCACTGAATCAGAATCTGCACGATCATGTTAAAGATCATGTTCAAGTGGAAGAAACGCTGTTTGATGGTACCTGGGCCACTTCCTTTCAGAGGCACCTGGTCAGGAGGCCCTTCAGGGTCTTGGCTTCAGCTCTGGGCTGCAGGACAGCTCCACACTGCACTCTGTACGGAGGGCTGGAGGCCGCAGAGGGCTCGGATTCCAGCTCTCCTATTAAAGGAACTTCATTACATGGGCAAGTGACTTAAAAAGTAAAAAGAAAAAAAAAGAAAAAGAAATCAGTCTTAAAGAAAACTTATAAGAATAGTACAAAAACTTCTGCATATCCTTTACCCTGATTCACCAATTGTTAACATTTTTCTCTCTACTTATATATTATTTCGGAACTAATGGAGGGCTAGTTCTACACACAGGTCTGCCTGTCCCCTTAATACTTCAGTGAGGACTTACTAAGAATAAGGACATTCTCTTATGTACTGAAACACCAGGGCCAGATTCAGGAGGAGGCAAACAACATCTGATCAGTGGCCCTGAGAGGGCTTCCTAGGAGCCTTGCTCACCACACCCGAATGCTGGCCCTGCACACTATACTTGCCCAAATCAGGAAACCTACATGGATTCAATACTATTATCTAGTCTACTGTCCATATTCCAGTTGTGTCAGTTGTCCCAATAATGTCCCATTTTTTCCATACCCAACTCAAGATCATGCACAGCATTTCATTGTCATGTCTATTGGGTCTCCTTCAGTCTGGAAGAGTTCTTCAGTCTGTTTTCCATGACATTGACATTTTTGAAAACTACGGACCAATTATTTTATAGAATGTTCTTCAATATGGCAACAAGTTATTTTTAATCTCTTGATAGTTCAGTTTTACCACCTATAGATTGAGAATAGTTCCTGCTTCATGTTGAATTGAATAAATTCAGACATCTTATAGACTTGACATATGACAGGTGTACGTGGATTTAAAAAGTTAGCTAATGCCGATTAGGTTCTTGTCAGTACCATGTTAAGTGCTTTACAGGCATGATCTCACTGGATCCTCCCTACAACTCAGTGACACAGGCTTTGTTTTTGTCCCTGTTTCACAGGTGAAGAAACTGAGACTTAGAATGATTTGTCCACTGTCTAAAAGCTAGTAAGGAGTGGGGCGCCTGAGTGGCTCAGTCGTTAAGCGTCTGCCTTCGGCTCGGGTCATGATCCCAGCGTCCTGGGATCGAGCCCCATATCGGGCTCCCTGCTCATCAGGAAGCCTGCTTCTCCCTCTCCCACTCCCCCTGCTTGTGTTCCCTCTCTCGCTGTGTCTCTCTCTGTCAAATAAATAAATAAAATCTTAAAAAAAAAAAAAAGCTAGTAAGGAGTAAAATGGGGACCTGAACCAAGTCAGCCTGCCTCCAAGGACTATTTGCTTAGTAACCTTGCTAGTGATGCTTACCTAAAATGTTAAGTTTTGGTTGTTTATTTGTTTTTAAATATTTATTTATTTATTTTAGAGAGAGAAGAAAACACAAGCAGGGAGGGGCAGAGGGAGAGGGAGAGAATCTCAAGCAGATTCCCCGCTGAATGTGGAGCCTGACTCAGTGCTCAATCTCAGGATCCTGAGATCATGACCTGAGCTGAAATCAAGAGTTGGATGTTTAACCGACTGAGCCACCCAGGTGCCCCAAAATGTAAGTTTTTAAGATAAAATTTATATAACATAAAATTTACCATTTTATTCATTTTATTTTCCCCCAACTTTATTATAAAGAGATATAATTGACATACATTGTGTAAGTTTAAGGTATACAACGTGATGATTTGGTACAAGTATACATTGTGAAGTGAGTACCATTATAAGGTTAGTGACACATCATTCACCTCACATTATGACAATTTTTTTTAGGTGGTGGGAATATTTAAGATCTCAGCAGCTTTCAAGTATATAATACAGTCTTGTTAACTAAAGTCACCATGCTACATGTTAGGTCCCTAGAACTTACTCATCTTGTAACTGGATGTTGGTACCCTTGGACCAACATTTCCTCATGTCTCCCCCAGCCCTTGGTAACCACCATTTGACTCTCTGTTTCTATGAATTTTAACCATTTTATTTATTTGTTTGTTTATTTATTAATTTTTATTGAAGTATAGTTGACACACGTTACATTAGTTTCAGGTGCACATGTTTTAACTATTTTAAAGTGTACAACTCAGTCTCTTTTAATATATTCCCAGTGTTGTACAACCATCAGCACTAATTCCAGAACATTTCCATTACCTCAAAAAGAAACCCGTGTCTTTCAGTTCCCCTCCTCCTATCCCCGGATAACCACTAATCTGCTAATCTTCTTTCTGTTTCTATGGATTTGCATACACACACAATGGAATACTACTGAACAATAAAAAGGAGCTAACTACTGATATACACAGGAACATTCTGGATCTCAAAAACATCACGCGGAGTGAAAAAATCCAGATGCAAAAAATTACGTGTTGTAAGATTCCATTTATATGGAATTTTGGAAAAACCAAAACCTTAAAAACAGGAAGCATGGCAGTGGTTGCCTGGGGCCAGGAATATGGGGGTGGGGATTGACTTGACTGCAAAGGGGCAGAAGGCAGTTTTTTGGAGTGAAGGCAGTGTTCTAAACTGGATTGTGTGATGTATACCTTTACCCAAATTCATCCAACTCTCTATTTTAAAAAGTTTATAAATGTAAATTATACCTCAGTAAAACTGTAAAAACCCAAACATATCTGTCCTCCACACTTATCAGCATATCTTCCTTCATAGTCTGGCTCCAGATCTCTTTCCAGCCTCACCTCTCACCTCTTACCTCTCTCTATGCATTCAGTCAACAAACATTCTCTGACACTTGCTGTGTGGAAAGCCCTCAAGAGAACCTCTGTCCTCAGGGAACTCACAGCCTCGTCAGAGCAGAAAGATAGGGCACCCAATCCTGATAAACATCAGGGATCCTAGAAGATCACAGAGTCTTTTTTTTTTTTTTTTTAGCTTATATATTTTTTTAAAGTAATCTCTACACCCATCATGGGACTCAAACTCATGACCCCGAGATCAAGAGTCCCATGCTCTTCCGACTGAGCCAGCCAGGCGCCCTTGATTATCGATAGAGTCTTAAAGGAGAGGGACGAGCATATACATTCCAGTCACTTTGAATTTCAAGTTTGAATCAAGTTTCAGTTTAATTTTTTGAAGAGGTAATGCATTTACAGGGTTCAAGAATAAAAGAAATTATACAGTGAAAAATTTCCTCCCATCCAGTTCCCACTCTACCCCATACAACCACTGTTGTTATAAACACATATTATTTTTCCTTCTTTTTAACAGAAAAGATAGCATAATATACACATTGTTTTGGACTTCATATTGTCATTTGGCAGTAAACCTTTGAGATCTTTCCATAAGGGTACAGTGAAAATCACCACTTTAATCATAGCTATATAGTATTTCATTGTATGGATGTGCCATAATTTATTTTATCCAGTCTCCTTTGGGTAAACATTTGAGTTTTTCCAACAGCCTGTTATGGCAAACAATGTTATAATGTGTACCCTCTTATAAGTGGTATATTGTGTGTTGTTTTGTTCGTATATGGCAAGTATATCCATGGCTATATATTGAATTCTTTTTTCAACCATTCCACAAACACACCAACCACTTTCATATCCGTAGGCTGTTTTCTCTGCCTTGAAAGTCTTCATTCAGTCCTTTTCTACTGGCAAACTCCTACTTTACCTCAAAGTCCAGTTCAAATGTCACTTTCTTGTGAAGGCTTCTGAACTCCTGCAGGCAAGATTAGGTTGCTCCTTCTCTTTTTTTCTCACAGTATTCCATGTCCACATCATCAGAATGATCTATTAATACTTCATTCTTGCCCCACTAGACTGGGAGCTACTCAAGGGCATGGACTACAGTAAATTTATCTCTGAATCCCTTAGTAATTTGTACCTGGTAAGTATTGAATAAAATGCGCATTGCATGAATGGTTAGGGCTGACAGAGGGGTTTGTATTGCTCCTGTCCCTTGCTTTCAGCTGCCTCTTGGTCTCTGTTACTACTTCGAGGACTGTGGCCAGACAAAGGTGTGCTGTGATTTCCCTTCCTCTCCCACCTAATTCCTTCCTTCCTGCCTCCACCCCTTCCCTACCCTTGGGATTCTGTCCACAGCTGCCTTTGTGGCCCTTGCTGGATCTGGCATGGATAGCAGTTATTATAGTTTTCAGTACATTAAAATAAATAAATAAAATGGAGCATTGGCTCTATGCATCTGCTCTTTTCTTCATCAAGTCTTTGGCCTTCTATAAAGCTGAAAGAACACATCACTTGAGAGTCAAATGCACATCAATCACCCTCAAACCTAATTTCCTGCACTTTAAGTCAAAGGAGATGACGGAGTTTACTATAGTGCTTTAGGAATGTGGGAAATGCTTATAGTGTTAGGTTAATCAATGTTAAATGATTTTCAAGGGCAACTTAGATTCTTTTTTAAAAACATTGGGTTAACTCTGAAATGTCATGATGCTAACTCATGCCTGGAGCTGTCAATTGCTAGGTCACTTACGTATTAAAAATTTTTCTATTTCTTCCTTACTGGGCAGGGCTGGAGGTGGGAGCTCTCTGTCCCCACCTCTGGAATGAAAAGGCAAAAGCTCTATATTCTCCTTACCCTGGAGAAGCTCCAAGTCAGGGAGGTGAGCCATCAAAGAAAACAAAAGGGAAAGAAAGCTTTCAAGCCTTTGCCTGCCCAGCTCAGAGATGGATATAGGATTGAGATGTTTCACCTGAAGAAGTCTCAGGAAAGGTGGTAGCTTAGGTCGCTTGGAGTGCTTTGGGACTGTGGTCTTCAAAATTTCTTGCTTGCATGTCTCTTAAAAGAAATTTGAGAAACCATGTTTTTTCTTGTACTTTTAAAGGTCATATCTCAAATGTTTCATCTTAAGTTTAAATAATGGCAAAGTTTGTTATTTCTGGCATAATAAGTATTGGCATTTTAAAATAAGATTGTTACATCATTCTGTAAGTGTATCAAGGGAATCTAAATATCATAATGTACCTATCATCCATTTAAAAAATACATGAACAAGCTTTTCTTAAAAAGAAATTCTACATCACTCTTTTTCTCCTTATCTTGTATTTCCATTCCACTTGCCCCTAAACATTATAATAGGAGAGTTTAGGCTGGAAAGTCTTTTATTGATCATGATCACCCTATCATATTTCCCTAAAAATTAAA